ATATGATAGTAAACCAAGTGGTGTCTTAGTAAGAAGAGAGAAGTAATCAGATGTACGAATAAATTCAATAAAGATATGTGACGAATAGGGTTGATTTGGTAGCCCCTGAGGTCAGGGTAGTCTTCCTGGAGGAGTTGGTCAATGCTTAAACTTTATGGATGGGAAGACTGAGGTCAGGAGAAGACATAGGAGTGTGCCCTACAATGCCATACTTTGGTTTAGTCCAGGGTCTTCCGCCTGCAGTTAATTGGGTTGCTCTGTACTGAAGCTTTACCCTCTGGTCTGTGCAGCTGAAGATATTAAAGTTCTGGAAATTGTGAGTTTAGCTTTTTCCACTTCTGGAATCTGGTCTGGAACTCTCTTGACTCCCAGCTGAGTGGTCCTTGTCCTGAGAGTGCTGACAACTCCCTGTCCTACATAGCTACAGACAAGGACATGCAGAGAACATTCAGGAGGGTGAGTGCAGCAGAGAAATAAGCTGGGAACAGTGGACACAGACAGAAAAACTCTGCACCTACTAGAGTCCTGTCCCCTCACATCTGTGCTCCTTATTCTTCATCCTAACATTCTGATCTGATGCACTTGCTGCATGCCTGACACCCCTCTACCATCAGAATAAAGCCAGATCCCGGCCAGGAAGGGGTGACTTCATGGTCTGGCACCGACTCACCACTACATCTTTCACACTCACCACTCCTCTTATCACGATCTGGAAACACTGAGCTCATTGCCATTTCAAAAAATGTGCTCTGCTCCCTGGTATCTCTGGATTTGCATGTGTTTTTCTGTCTAGCTACAATGTCTCTTTGTTCCCTTGATTTACCCCAAACAAGCTATTCATCCTTTGAGCTTTGGTTTTGACATCAACGTCTCTGGTCAACCACCAAGAACTCCCACGGTGCAGGGAACGCGCTAGGCACAGTGTTGTACTAAGCTCCATCACCACACCTGACACCCTTCACCCCTGCACCCCTGAGCTGACTATCGTCTCTCCTCTTGTCCCCAGCCCACTAGACCATAATCAGTTTCACTTAACTGAGTCATGATAGAAAGACAACAAAAAAAGTGGTTGAATAAATTGACGAGAGGTGTTTGTATGGAAAACCACAGACATAAGCAGGTCTGACTAAGAATTTGGAACTTTCTTTTGAGCTTTATTGGTATGTAATTGGTATACAAAATAGCATATATTTTAAGCATACAGCATAGACATCTCATAAACAAAAACATGGTTAAATGATTATCACAATGAAGCTAATTAACATATCCATCACCTCACAGAGTTTGTTACCTTTGTGTATGTCCATGTAGGGTAATAGCATGTCAGATCAACTCTAGCAAATTTCAAGTTCATGACACAGTATTGTCAACTCTAGTCACCATGTTGTACATTGGATCTCTAACTTGCTCATCCTCTGTCACTGAATCATGCACCTTTTGACCAATCTTTCCCTATTTTGCTTTGCCTTTCTATGCCTGGTTTATTTCAGTTGGTATAATATCCTCCAGTTTCATCTGCATACTTGCAAATAGCAGCACTTCCTGCTTCTTAAAAAGCTCGATAGTGCCCTATGGTGTGTGAGGATGCGCTTGCATGCACATGTGTACAGGTTTGCTGTTATTGCTCTGTTCATATTTTCTATTTCCTCATCATGTAGTCTTAGTAGGCTGCATGCATCTAGAAATATAATTATTTCTTCTGGGTTGGTAGCTTTGTTGGAATATCATGGCTCATAGTAGTCTCAATGGTCCTTTGTACATCTGTGGTACCAGTTGTAATGTTTCCTCTTTTATTTCTAATTTAGTTTTTGAGTCCTCTTGCTTTGTTTTCTTAGTTAACTCAGATAAAGGCTTATCAATTTCATCATCCTTTCAATAGAAACGACTCTTAGTTCCACTGATTTTTGTTCTCTATCGCCTTTCTTGTTGCTAGGAATCTGAGGACTCAGGAGAGAACAGGGCCGTGGAATAGGTATTGGTCTTCTCTAGGACTAGATCATACTGTGATTTTGTGCTGAAAACTGTGTTGGACTTCTCAGATCTAAAAGGAGGCCTGTGTGAGACACTGCTAGCTTCAGAAGGCTACTATAGCAAAGTACCACAAATGGGGTGTGGCATTTTCATCCCTGTAACCAAAATTCCTCACAAGAACAGCCAAGAGGAAGAACAGTTTGGCTTGGCTTATGATTTTAGACATTCAGTCCATGATCCACTGCCTCCAAGGCAGAAACGTCATGGTGGAAGGATGTGCAGAGGAAAGCTATTCTGCTCATGGCAGCTGGGAAGCAAAGAGAGAGAGGAAGGGGCAGGGACAGATGTAGTTCAGGCCACGTCCCCAGTGACCTGCTTCCTCCAGCCACACCCGATCTTCCTATAGTTGGCACCCAGTAAATATCAATGGATTAATCCAGCCAATGCATCGATGGGCCGAGCTCTGTACCTTGCTGCACTGGGGTCATGCTTTCAACCTGTGAGGTTTTCAGAGGAATTTCCAGGTCCAAACCATAGCAGCAATGTGTATGTATCAGAAACTGTCTCACAATTTTGGTGGCAGAAGTCCAAGGCCAAGGTGTCAGTAAGGCTGGTGTCTTCTGAGGATGTGAGGGGAGAATTATTTCAAGCTCTCTCTTTGGCTTGTTGATAGATGTATTTTTCTCTGTCTCCACATTCTCTTCCCTCTCTGTATGTCCATGTCCAAATTTCCTTTTTATAAAGATATCATTCATGTTTGACCAAGCGTTGACCCTGTTCCAGAATTGCACATGAAATCTCCCTGCTTCCAAATGACCTCACACCCTAAGGTACTACAAATTAGGACTTGAACCTATGAATTTTGCGGTGCATACAACTTAATCCACAACAGGTCTGTGGTGAATGACCTTTATAATTCATGTCTACAGGAAACCTTAGATTCTAAACCTATTTAGAAATAGGTTCTTTGAAGGAACAATTAGGTAAGATTTGTGAGACAATAAATATCCATCTCTTAAACCCTCAGGTTTTGGTCCTTCGACATAACAGCTCCAGGAAATTAACACAGGGTCTAAAATGTGTGTGTATTTAAGATTAGAGATGTCCTAACCAGTTTTGCTGAGGTGTACAATGCAAATCCTAATTCAAGAGAAAGAAGTTATAAGAATGTATTAGGTAGTCAGGGCTCAAATCTGTCAAACCCAAGAGAACAAAGAGACTGTTTATTAAAAAGATAGCTTTGGGGTTAGAGAAATCTGGGTTCATATCCTAAGTCTACCACTTACAAAGTGAATACTTTGGAAAAGTTCATTCAGATATCAAAGACTTCATCTAGCTAATGCATTAATGGTCAGAGTCCTAAGGATTCCCAATGCTTTGACTCCTTGGTACTGTGGCTTCCTGCTGTTACTAGTGAAGATAACAGCTCCCTCCTGCCTAGGACTGAGAATGGAATATAAGGTTGATTGTGTACAAAGTGTTTTGAAGTGTCTGGCAGCTCAAAGTAAATGAGACAGATAGGGAAGCAATAACTCACAGAAAGTGGCCCAGTCACAGGTGAAGGTGTGTATATAGGGGTCTGCAGCATGATGTGCATTGGGCTTGTTCACTCCTGCCCTAGGAGAAGAAATACCCAGTTCTCTCCCTCTGAGGAGGAAGAGCTTTTCATAACAGTGGCCACATGGAGCTCTTTACATTGTTTTAAGAAGACTGGGAATGGGAGTGATTCTGTATCCTCAGGAGGCTGTCACTCTTATTTTGGGGAAGTCAGGTAAGGTACAAACACTGCTCTTCCTGAGTTCCCACAGTCATCCAAGCAACAGGAATGAAAACTCAACCCCCCAAAACCAAAAGCAATCTGTTTGTCAAATGCATCATTCAAAACTCCCAGGACTCTCTATTTCCATGCACATCATTAACAAGCATAAGCACAGCCTCAGTGATCATGTTAGTCCAGGCTGATGTTTGTGGCTTGAGCGGCTTTAGCAAAGAGCACTCCGTCTTAGGCAGGACAAGGTTGGTCTTGCCAAGCTTATTAACCCTGCTTCTGAGCCCTGGGATTTGCAACTATCATCTGTTTATAAGGAAAGTGATTATTTGTTTTATTTCATTATTTCTTTTCCGTTTCTTGTTGCATTTCCCTGGAATTTTCTTTAAGCACTTACACCCAATAAAAATACTTTAGGGAACAGTAAATTTCCAGAAGGGTAAACATACCAAGTTTTACTTTTTGTGAACTTTAACAAGAAATTCTCTACCCAATTGGAAGGTGAAGTTCAAATTCTTTCCATATTCAACAGCCCTCACGGTGACAGCAAACAAGCTCTTCAAGACAAGATGGCAGGAAGCGTCACCCCTGGAAAAAATTACTCCAGTGAGACACTCATCCCAGAGAAGCCATGTGACTCTTTCCAGGTCCTTGAAGTCAGAGTCAAAACAACCTCCCCCTCCATGCCTCATTTTTGTGAACCTGCCATTCTGAACCAGGGGCAGGGACAGAGAATAAAAATCAGCAGGTGAGGTCAGCCATCCATACAGAAGCTTGTCTCTGTCTTTAAAAGCAGAATAATAAACCCAGGCACTGGGTACACCCGAGACCCATGTGTTTCGATCCAGGTGGGGGGCAGCAGAAACATTGCCCACATAGTAATCTCAATCACCATGATGATAATACTTTGGGAATATCCAGGAGGAGGGCAAAGAAGGTGCAGATTGCTTTGCTGGTGTTTATTAAGTGTCATGCAGTCTAAGCAGATTTGATATTCTTATGGCTATTGTATAGATAAATCACACAAAAATATTAATTATAGGTCAGACCTAAGCTGCCTGATGTAAAGACCTAGGATGCAAAACACCATCATTTTACTGGAAGGCATTGGAGGAAAGTGTCTGACTGCCGGGTATCTGACTGCCTTTGAATAGGTAGTCCTCTAGTCACTTGCTACGTGACTTTGAGCAAGCCTTTGACTTGTTTCTCAGTGTTCTCATCTACAATATGGAGATCAGTTTGTTCAAATATGTATGAAGTGCCTACTCCATGCCAGGTGCTGAGAACAGAAGAGAGAGAAGAAGAGACAATTCCTGTACTTCTGGATTTAACCTTCTGGTGGAAAATGAGTAAGTACATATGCAAATGATACTGCGTGTTACATAGCTGTTAGTATTATGAGGAAAATAAAGCAGAGGAAAAGATTGGGATTACAGGAGTGAGAAGAAAGGAATGTCTGGGGAAGCCCTGACCCCAGGAGAGTGACATTTGAACAGAGATCTGAGGGGTACAGAGGTAACCCATGGAGAGATTTGCAGGAACAGCATTTTAGCAGAGGGAACAGTGGGTACACGGGATCATGCCTGGCACATTTGAGGAGAGAAGCTGGGACAATGTATCTGGAGCTGAGTGAGCAAGGGATAAGAGCTTAGAAGGAGAATCAAGCTGGGGCAAGACAGGTCCAGACCTGCTCAGCCCTAGAACATTGGGTTTCCTCTAAGATGGGGATCACTGGAGGGCTTGAAAGGCTCGCTGATATGATGTGGCATATTTTCCAAGGAGCTTCCTGGTTCTTATGTGGATAATATAATGGGCATAATATTGTATGTAATGATGCAGGTTCTATTTACAAATTTCCAGCACCCTAATAGCTCCTGGTTAGAGGGCCATGGAGACAGTACAGAGCTGCAATGGCGAGGTGAGGAGGACCAGCGGAGCAGAGGAAATCAGAGAGTGCTGTCAGGGCATTAGTCAATGGGACCAAAAGTTGGGCTGTGTCCAGGGGAATACATTCAGAAGCATGAGGACTATAGCCATGCCCCAAGCAAGATGACTGTGGCTTGTATGAGGACAACGGCTGGGATGAGATATGTAGGGTCAGAATCCAGATATAACTGGATAATAACTGAATGCCCTTCGTGGGTGGTTGTTTGGGGAGTAAATGGGCTACCTTATGTAAAACATTCCCCTAATAACACAAGCGTTGTGTGCTGTGGCATGGGTAGGCACATCATCATGGGAGGTCACATACCAGGAAATTTGTCTCTTATAAAATCAACAGTCTGTCCTTCCTCCCTCTCTTCCTCCCTTCCTTTATGCTTTTTCCCATTTCCCCTCCCTCCCTCCCTCTGTTCAAGCATCATGGATCCATTCAAGAACAGATTATTATGATGGCCAGCCACACAGGGTCTGGAGTCAGACTTGGATTAAACCCTGGCCATACCATTAAATAACTGTGATGCTTTGAGCAAGATCAAAATTCCCAACTTCTTATAACTTTTGTCTCTTCATCCCTTAAGTGGGCACAATAATGGTATCTACTGCCGTTTAAAGTCTGAGCTAATTTGTGTAAAACCATTAGTCTAATTCCCACGGTGAGAAATTCTTCATAAACCTGGTTATTATTATTTATTATGTTATCAAATCTGCATTGTCACCAATAAACATTATATGATATGTAGAAGGTACAAATTATATGTACATGGGCCCAGCTCTCTAATAGCTCATGGTCTAGAAAGGCAGCACAGAGCTGTTAGGAGGTAAGAGGTGCAGAGCAGCAGAGCAAAGACACATACCCTGTCCTCTCAGGGCCGTTTCAGTGGAACCTCATGCAGCCCTGGATTCAAACAAGGCTTCCTGGATCAGGGGAAGGATCCTCACTGAACTTCCTATGTGCATGCATAGATGTGGCCCGGTGAGTCCTGGGATCAGGTGTATCCACTGGACACTCATTTTAAAAAGCCAAATGTAAATGGATTGGAAAGGGGATTGGTGGAGTTGAGGGAGGGAAGTGCTGGGGACTACATTGGAGAGGGTGGTGTTGCATGCTTTTAGGATAATGTCAGGATATATCCTGGTGTTGTATGCAACTAAAAAGAATAAATAGATAAATAAATAAATAGATGGATAAATAAATAAAAAGGATTCCTGGAGGAAGAGATATTTAAACTCAGCCCTAAGGGATTAGTGGAAATGAGCCAGGCAAGTCGGAGTTGGAGTTAGAGTTTCCCAGCAGCCTTCAGGTACAGGAGGGAAGGAATGTGGACAAAGATCCCCAGACAAGGTAGATCCAGTCATCGAGTGTCAGCTGTTTCAAGAGACGAGAGGAGAGAAATCTTTGAATAATCAGGTGGCTGTTAAACTGATAAAATTAAGTGAATATTAAAACTCATGACACTGACTTGTTCATTTCTCCATCCTTCTAGGTCGCCTTAGAAGGGATGTGTGACCACATGGCACCTGCCTCAGCTAACGTTCTTGTGACAATGTCAATCAGGGGGGAGAGAAACAGGCTCGCCACTCCCCACAGCAGCCTCTCCTCTTATGACCCTGCCCCCTCTGTTTTTCTTAATATCCTCTGGGTCACTGAACAGTGAACATCTGACAACACTTTCTGCAGTTTCTCCTCCTGCAAGTACACACACTCACGAACACACACACAGAGATAAGCACACACACATGCACACACACAGATAAGCACATGGACCTTCACTCTGCTCAACTCAGATTTATGCTAATTCGCCCTCCATTATCTCTCCTCTTTTCCAGTCCTTTCCAATGTCATTACTATGATGTCACTCCGCTTGCTGCCACAGCCCCACAACTCACCCACATGGTGCTCTGTTCCCAGGACAGTCAGTGGTGGGAGCACCATTGCTGCCAGATCATTCTCTAAAAGCAAGGGCCGGCAAACATTTTATAAAGGGTCAGGTAGTAAATACTTTGGGTCCTGCAGGCCCCAAGATCTATGCTGCAATTAAGTCTGCCATCCAAACAGTGTGGCTCTGTTTCAAAAACACTTCATTCACTAGAATAGGTAGAGGCCAGAGTTGGCCCTGTTCTTAAGCAAAACTCACTGTCACCCCACAACCATTGTCCACACATTCTCAGTTCTTAGCTGAGGATTAAACCTACTAAACACCTCTTCTTATCTGAGGTTTGACAGTTTTTCCTCTGGGCGCCCCTCCCTCTCACTGTAGGTCTCAGCTTCCTGCCTCACCAAATCGTCCTTCTTCTGAGTATACCCAATTGTATGCTTCTTCTACCAAAATTGGTTTGTTAAAAATCTTCCTGATCTTTCAGATCCATCTCTATAATAGCTCTGTACCCCACAGCTCTTTTCAGAGCAAATTTATCTCAGAGAGTCAGGAAGAAGTCATTGGCGATTAATGATCCTACTGATAGGCTTCAGTAGAGAAGATACTTCTGTCACCTTGTCTAAGACAGTTAGACCACTGCTCTTCACTATAAATTCTTCTCCTTGTGGAGTGAGGTGCCCACATCCTCTCAAATCTGAGCAGGCTCTGTGATTCCTCCGACCACAAAATATGGCAAAAGAAACTAAGCTTTCAGTCTCATGGGTGAGACTGGCATTGCCACTTTCTCTGCCTGGAACTCCCTCTGGGAGCAACACCATGGGAAGAATATGACTAATTTGAGACCAGCTGCCATATCCTGGATGCCAGATGTTGGGGCTCAGGCGAAAGGTCTTAGGCGAGCCAGCCTCCTGTGCCCAGCAAGGTCCAGATGTGTGAGCTCAGTGGTTTTGAGTCATCCCCATTAGTCCATCCACAGCACCACACATCTGAATGGTACCCACCTGCAGCACAGGAACCCAAGGGATTGTCCAGCTCAACCCTGCCCAAGCTCCCCACCTACAGAATCAAAGACAAAACACAGTGGTTGCAATTTCTAAAGTCATTACCTTTGGAGCTTTTTCATAACAGGACAGTAAATGAATACAACAGAGGCTTCCAGGCCTGCACACCCACTCTCCCTGGTCGATAGGAATTTCACACTCCCATTCATTTTGTTAGTTGCATTCCCCTGTGCCTAGAATGATCCTCTGCTGTTAATTATCCCTTGCATTCTTCCTTTTATTGCCTTTTAACAACCTTATTTTACTTTTTCAGTATCATGTGAAATATTGTCTCCCCTAGAACTCTGTTCTGAGTTATTCACCGATTCTTTAATCTCCAGGCACATGGTTTAGAGGTTCATCAAGGTGGTTGAGTTGTTTGGAGGAGTTTCTTTTACTGCGTTTGCCTTCTCCAGTGGGTAGCGATTTTTTCAGAGGAAAGAACCATGCCTTCCTCATGTGTGCAGCTATGCTCTTGGGGTGGTCATTGGCCATTAGCAGTCCCTTAACAAGCCTTTTTTGAGTTAATCAATGCATATAAGATGTGGGATTTGCACTCTTGAAGTTGACCTGCTGGGTTTAAGTTGATGAAGGAAATCTGCTGTGTTCCCGACAAATCAAATCCAAACTTTCCCCTTCCTCATTTCAAAGGAAAAGCAAAATAAGTTTTGCTCATTTGCAACATCTAATGTATTTCAGGAAAAAAAAAATGGAAGGTATGTTTTGCTCTGATAATAAGTAATCTTTAGTTCACGGTAATTTAATGTGGCAAAGGTTTATCTCTCACATGTCACAGTCCAGTGCAGATTAGGAGCTTCCAGGTCAACTCTCCTCCAAAAGTGGCCAGGTATTCAGTCTTCTGTCCAAGACCTCTACCAGTACTGGAGTCCTTTCCATCTAGTCAAAGAGATAGCAGGAGGTAGGCTGGGGAGCACAGACCACTATTGATTGCATGAGACAGAGTGATATATCATTTCTCATGTTCCGCTCGGCAAGCACTAAATTACATGGTCTCCACCCCAAAACAGAGACAACTGCAAATGTAGTCTTTTCGTGCATCCAGGAAGAGGAAAGGATATGGAAATATACACTGTCTCTGTTACAGAGGTGACAAAGAACCAACTCCAACAACTCATGGTTTAAATCACCTATTTTATCTATTTTTTTTTTTCTTTAACAAAGGATCCCTCAGCCAAGTGGTCCTTGAGGCTCATTTTCTTACCTGAAGCTGAGAGTCTAGCACAATGATTCTCCAGTGGGATCACTTAACCCCCCTCTCCACCATCAGGGGAATTCTGGCAGTGTCTGGACACAATCTCGATTGTCATAACCCAGGGACTTTACCAGCCTTTAGGGGATAAAGGTCAGGGATGCTGAAAATCATCACCCACACAGGACAAGGGCCTACAGCAAAGAACCACTTGGTCCAAAATGTTAGTAACGGGGAGGTGGAGGATGAGCTGCCAGAGGCTGTAGCTGCTCAGTCCAGGGAGAAGCTGCAAGGATGCAATCCTGCTCCACGCCATATTCCACCCTCCAGCAAGGACACAAGTATGTCTCTACAAGGCAGCTCCACAATTCTCAAGGGCAGCAATGGGGACCAAGCTCTGTGTGAGCATTTTTAAGCCTCTGTTTTGGTCTGTTTGTCAATGTCCCACTGGAAAGCAATTTAGCTCTTAGGGGAAGAGCTGAAAATTGGCTGTTTTTCAAGCTAAAAGAAAAATGTTATGTGATATTTGGATGGAAGCCCTATTTTGTAGCCTCAAGCTCTATTTAATAAATAGGTATAAAAATTCAATGCATTACAATAACGTGTTCCTTTTTACACAGAACATTCACAGTGATTTGTAATGTTCAAACTGTGAGATATGGTGTCAATTGTCCAGGTTCAAATCCTAGCATTGTCACTTTCCAAGGACCATAGAATAAGTAGCATAATCTTTCTGTACTTCTATTTCTCATCTGTAAACTAGGAATAATGATAATAATAACTCCTAATAGGTTTTGGGGAAAGACACAAATGGAATAATACATGTAAGACAACTGCGTACGCCCTAGAATACAGTAATTTTTCAATAAATAGTGTTGGTATTACTGATAGGCAGTACGTTTCTATGATATTTGGAAGGAAACACAGCTGGGTTCCAAGTCCTCTGTTAGGGTAGCAGGAATTTGTTGGGTCTTTCCTTCTGTTCTTCCTGAAAGAGCAAGTGGAGAAGTGACAATATGTCTTCATGTATAGCTTTGGAAGAAATGTGTATGCAGCCAGGATTGTCACTCAAGCCCTTTGTGACTTGGAGAAAAGAAGACTGGTAGGCATCTGCAGGTGCCATCAACAACCTGAGAGTTGTCAGGTAAATGGGGATTGAATGTGTGCTCTGTCACATTGGATCACTTGAGTGAAATTCATAGGATGTTGCTGCTTTATTAAATGGAAGATGCGAACAATCATGGTCTCAAGCAAGGGATGGGCCTTTCTTGCATCTTAAGCTAGTTTCCTAGAAGCAGCCTTTAATATGATGACGCACTATTAGTGAAAGACAGAGAAATGGAAAGTAGGATGATTGAGGAAATGCTGAGGAGGTGTATCAGGTGGAGCACAAGAGGCCAATCCTTGGACAATGATGTTGGTTTAATCCCACGGGGGCCTTGGAAAAAGTAATGGTCGTACTCAGCTTCTGAGTCAGGGAAAGGAAGCTGCAGTGCCTCTATCCCTGTGCTCCTCACTGGCTAAGCCCTGGGGAGGCCATGGCATACTTTCTCATGCACTTGTGGCTCTTTTGCTGTTGTACCTGCAGGCAGTGAGGCCGGGAGCCATGCAGCAGCTCTCCACTTGCTGCTATTTGTGAACGACACAATGGAAATGGGTGGGGAGATAATATAAAAGGATTTGTGAAAAATTGTCAGTGACACTCCAACATCAGCAGATCTGCCTCGTCTGTTGTGATATTTCATTTCCTGGTAAAGCTAAGCAGAGGCTGTCACCAAGATATAGTGAGTCTCAGAGTGGTTTAACACAGACTTTCTTTAGAAAGGTGCATTACTAATGCTTCATTTACATCAAAGTTGTGAAACATTTAAAAACAAATTGCCTGTTATTCAAACAGGAAAGGAGGAGGTTAAATCATTGCTGTTTGCAGACAACATGATCTTATATGTAGAAAAGCCTAAAAACGCTTTCAAATAATTGTTATAACTGATGAATTAATTCAGCAAGATTGCAGGATAGAAATCAAAATAAAAAATCAGTTGCTTTTTTATACACTATTAATGAAGTTGCTGAGAAAGAAATTTTTTTAAAAAGTCTCATTCACAATAGCTACTCAAAATGAAAACACCTAGGAATAAATTAAACCAAGGAAGAGAAAGATTTCTACAATGAAAATTGTAGAAGCAAGAAAGTACACACACACAAATGGAAAGATATCCTATGTTTATGTATTGAAAAAAATTAATATTGTTAAAATGTTCATACTACTCAGCATGACCTACAGATTCAACTCAATTCTTAGCAAAATATCAATTAAAATTATCCACAAAAATAGAAAAAATACTCCTAAAATGTATTTTAAAAATCCAAAGACCCCAAATAGCCAAAGCAATCCAAAGGAGAAAGAAGGAAGCTGTGGACATTATATTGCCTCACTTCAAAACACACCACAAAGCTATGGGAACCAGATGACGCATGACTGGCATCCAGAAACACAGACCTATGGACTAGAGAAGAGAACCAAAAACGAATCCCGTATTCCCTCCAACTGATGTCCAACAAATGCAGCAAGAACATACATTGGAGAAAGGATGGTGCTGAGTAAATTGCACATCGAAATACAGAAGAAAGAAAATAGGCCTTCCTCTGGCACCCTATATAAAACTAACCCCAAATGGATCAAAGATTTAAGTGTAAGATGAAAGACCATGAAACTACTAGAAGAAAATATAGGAGAAATGACCCAGGACCTTAGTCTCAGCCAGAATTTGTTGGATACAGCCTTAATGGCACAGCCAACAAAAGCAAAAATTAGCAAATGAGATTATATCAGACTAAAAGCCTTCTGTATTACAAAGGAAATAACCCACAGAGCAAAGAGATAACCTTCAGAAAATATTTGCAAACTATTCATCTGAGAACAAATTAATTTCCAGAATGCACAAGAAGCTTGAACAACTCGACAGAGGAAAAGAAAAAAGAAAGAAAGAAAAGAAAAAAAAAATAAAGACAACCCAAAACAAACAGAAAAAATGAAATACTCTGATTTAAAATAGCAAATGACCTGAATAGACATTTTTCAAAAGAGGATACACAAATGAACAACAAATATAGAAAAACATGCTCAAATTACTAATTATCAGTAAAATGCAAATCAAAATCATAATGAGATGTCATCACCCCAGTTAGAATGACTCTTGTCATAAAACCAAAAACCAAAAAAAATAACTATTTTTATGGAGGATTTCAAGAAAGGGAGCACTCCTACACAGTTGGTGGGCATGTATATTAGTGCAGTCATTATGGAAAATAGTGTGGAGAATCTTCACAAGACAGAAACAGAACTATCATACGATCCAGCACTCTCACTGCTGGGGATATAGTAAAAGGAAAAGAAATCAGTCTGCGAAGACACATCTGCCTTCCCACGTTTGTTGGAGCACTATTCATAAGAGCTAAGACATGTAATCAACTCAGTTGTTCATGGATGGATGAATGGATAAAGAAAATAGGAACTGGAATATTGTTCAGCTATTAAAAGAATAAAATTCTGACATTTGTAACAACATAATTGAGATTGTAGAAAACTATGTTAAGTGAAAGAAGCCAGGCACAGAAAGAGAAATTTTGCATATTCTCAGTTATGTGAAAGTTAGAAAGTGTCCCCCAAGGAAGTAGAGAAAAAAAACATTGGTTAGCAGCGCGGGGGAGGGGTGAGAGAGGGGAGGATATGGGAGGAAGGTTCATGGGTACAGAGGTGCATTTGTGTAGGAGGAATAACTTCCAAAGTTCTGTAGCACAGTAGGATAACTACGGTTCACAGCATTTAATTGAATATTTCAAACTAGCCAGGTGAGAGAATATTGATTGCTCATAAACAGAAAGAAAGGATAAATGTCTGCGGTGATGGATGTGCCAATTACCTTGATCTCATCATTGCACATTATATACATGACTGAACTGCCACACTGTACCCCATACGTATATAAAAGTACTATGTAAACTAAAGTAAAAGAAACATCATGCTTAGAGAAAACTTCCCCCAATACATAAGCATGGTCTCCAGGTGACCTGTGTCCACCTCGCTCCTCCCTGGCAGCTCGGAGGCTCTGGCTTCTTATCCTTGCTCTGTACTCTCTCGGCTGAAGAATCTTGAAAAAATCACCCCAAACGCTTTTTCTTCAGTTACTTCATCTGTAAAAATACAGACAACTGTGCTTACCTCTTGACTCCAATCAGATTTATATATCTGGGTCACAGTCATGTTTATGTGCACACTGCATGCACTCTACATAGAAACAGAGGAAATTAAGGCAGGGAGATTAAACTCTCTCTTGAGTCACTTGAGAAGAACAGGAATCTTTCCTGTCCCACAGACTCTTTCTCGGACACAATTTCTAATCCACCATTTTGCATGGAAAGTAAAATAACGCCAGATAGACTATAGGGAAACAATAGCTTCACACCCAACAGCACTGCCATCGCCCGGGTGGTGGCCTCCATCCATTCTACCTGGCACGTGACCTAAGGAGTTACCTGTGCTCACTGGGCCTCAGCGCTCTCTGCTGCAAGCCTGGGCTCTGTGGCCACAGAGCTCCTTCCAGCTCTTCCTGCCTTTGATGGCAGGAAGCACCAACAGGAAGCATTCAGATGTGAATGGAGCAGCGGGGCTCAGTGGGGAGGTGGGAGCCTCCATGGCCCACAAGTGGAAATGAGAAGACAGCCAGCTGCCTGGAGAACTTGTATCCTCTGCTGGTCTGGGTCCACATAGAAGTTATTTATTTGTTTCTTTTCAAAGTTATTTCCAACCCTGAGTTTTGGAATTTGGTATTGATTAACAAAATCATAAATGTAAAGAAGGTTCCCTAAGAGGTACTTAAAGTTTGAGGAGGAGGAAGAACAGTCACATGCAGTGGCCACTCCTACCCTGAGCACTGGAGGTTACAAGGCACCCTGAATAGCTCTTTGAAACACTTCACCAAATGACTCTGTTGGGTCCCCCTATTAAGCAATCTGCTTCAGAAAGTTCCTTATTCTCCTGAACTGGAAAAGTCCCACAATTTCATTATTCTGGGGGGCTTGGTGCTGCCTCTTTTGAGAGATTTATCTGCCTGGCAAGAGGCCTGTATTACCTTGCTTGCTGGGCCTTGATAAGTGTCCCCGAACAAAGAGAAAACAATTTGTACAACTCTTCCAGTCAATTGGAGGCTTGGCTGTGGGATGAACAAAGCCCTGTTCCATCCCACGGTGCCAATTTGCCCTTATCAAGTGCAACAGAGAAAATGTGGGACGTGTTACCATCAGTATGGGAAAGCACTCCCAACAAAACGAGAAAACAGTGATTGGACTCGTTTTATCAACCCAGAGCTAGCTCCACAGCAATTCTCACACAATTACGCCATGTTAGAATAGCCTCACCATATGGCTGGGCATTGATCATTTTGCTGTGATGTTAATTTAATACGTAGTGTGGATGTTCACTTGTTTTGTTAATAATTTTTTTTTAATTTTGGCATTCTGATTGTATCCCATAATGTGTGCACATTGACAGATTTTTTTTTAATAAAAAAAAATATTGACATTTGTAGAAAAAAGATCTCCTGCACAAACACCAGGCTAAGGCAGGTGTGGTGGTGCAAGCCTGTAGTTCTGGCAACTCACAAGCATGAAGCAAGAGGATTGCAAGTTCTAGACCAGCCTTGCAAGTTAATGAGACCCTGTCTCAACATAAAATAAAAATAAATAAAATAAAAAGTGCTGGGGCTGGTTCAGAGGAAGAGTGCCTGCTAGCAGGTGCAAAGTTCTGGGTTCAATTA